TTAGGCTTCACAAACGACTGATCAAGATGCAGAAACATTTTGACAAATTACTTGAAGCAAGGTTTGCAGAGGTCCACTGCCACCTGAAGAGCAACCTCATGATCCAGCAGGTGTTCAACTCAGAACAAAAAGCCCAGCTAAAGATGCAACTCTCCCAACAGCCTGCTCAAATTGAAGAAATTCACAAAGAACTTGCAGATCAAAGAGCCAAAGACAGAGAACTAGAGCTTCAAATCAAAACATACATCAGGCAACTGCGTGACCAAGAGCAAGCAGGTGCCTCTCAACCAGCAGAGCCCTCTGCCCAGCCCTCTGCCAAGGTACAATCTCTCCCTTCTTTGCCTCCTAACCTAAAGCAGGCTCTTCAAAAGGTGCAGGAACATGAAGAGTACCTAAGAAAGCTAAGGAATGAAGAGTTCCCGGCCATGTTCAAACTCTCACAAAATTCCTCATAGACCAGCAGGCTCATGCTCAGGCCTATGAATAACTAACAAAGGCTGTTGAAAATAACTTCAAAACTCTTCAAAGAGCAACACAAGACACCTTCTGGAAGCAAGGCAGTGACTTCCAGAAACTGGGACAAGACTTAGCGCAAACTAAGCAACAGATTCAAGGACTAGAAAATGAAGTCAAAGATGAAGTAAAAACGGACCTCATAGACATCCAAAACTACATAAAGGCTCTATCCATTCAAGTCTATGGTCTCAATCCTGCAAGAAGAACAACTGAAGACATTGATGATGAAATTGAAGAGCTCTTTGACGAAAGTTACATTCCTGATGATGCCAAAAACGGGGAAAAGACTCCACAAGCACGCCCCTCATCTTCCAGATCAATAGCGGCCAAAAAGGGAGCAGAGACAAGACGAAAGAACAAGTGACTTCAGGAAGAAATGGAAATCCGAAGAAGGAAAGCAGAAGAAGCAAAAGCCAAGAAGAAATCAGAGGAAGACAAACAAGAGTAAGCTAGACCTTGAGTCCGAAAGTGACTTAAAACTATTGTACCTTAGATCTTAGACCAATGTACAAAAATCTCAAATGAAAATCAATAAAAATATTTCTTTCTTGTGTTGTATAGTTTTGGCATCATCAAAAAGGGGAGAATTGTTAGTACCCAATTTTGATAGATTTTGATGATGCCACTATACATTGCACTAGTACATTGTGTCTTATTTATTTGCGTATTAGTGTTCAAAAGTGACAAAATAAATGTACAATTTTTTAGACTAATAAAATTATGCTGGGAAGTTAAAATGCAATAAGGTAATTTTTTTCTTAATAGGATATTTAAATCCTACCAGTATAATTTTATTTGTACACACAAATTAATTAAGTCACACAGATTCGAAAATCATACACATTAAATTAAAATGATTGGAGAAAAAACTTGACCAGTATTTAATACTGGATCAAGTACACGGACCCACACCTGAATGCACACATGGACTGTTTTAGAGAAGATGCTCCCGCGGCTCAATCATTCAAGACAAGGAAACCATCTCATTAAAAGCTCCTGCACAAGAAGACGAAAGTACAAACTTGTCATTGTCAGACCTTCAACGAACAAGATTGATTTATCATAACCAACGAATGAGATTAATCAACAGGAGAAGCCTATAAATAAAGGCTGAAACGAAAGTTTCTAACCAAGCTTTAATTTGAGCCATCTGAGTAGAGAAAATATTCATAAGTATTCACGAGCTATCTAGGAAAAGAGAAAGTGTGAAACTATACTTTACTCTCTGATTGGACTCATACTTCACTATACTTCAAAGTCACAAGTTTTCATTGATAAATCCTAGAAGTGTAGTTCCTAGTTGGAGGTTAAAACTTTCTTGTAACATTTCACAAATTGTTGTAAACATTTAGGAGGACAGTTGTTCGAATCCTAAATTGTGTTTAGATAGACAGAGTACCCTTTGATCCCCACTGGATCATTTGAAAAAAATCTAAAGGATTGAGTAACTTTGAGCGGTGTTATTATACTCACTGTGAAACACCTTCAATCTAGGCCTAAGTGTTGTAAAGGCTAGATTGGCACCAAGTGTATTGGGCTTAATACTTTAGTGGAAATCCATCTGAAAGAGGGTGGGACTGGACGTAGGAGGATTACACCACCTCTGAACCAGGATATACTGTGTGTTGATTTACTTTCAGTCAACAAAGCACACACCAAACACTTCTCACAAAAGATTTTAGTTTTCCAGCAGCATCCTAAGCAGTAGCCTTAATCGATCCTACTGCTTATCCTACTGCTTAATTACTCACTTTCTTTGAGACAATCTTTCCACAAGAGCCTTGCAATATCACCACTAAAAGGTCTGTTCTATCAGATCTCAGGAAATCATCTTTCAAGTGAAGCAGTTGTCTCAACAGTTCCTTGGTGACCACCCAATTGCTAAGCTCACTGCTCATACACACTTATTTCCTTTGAACATCTTAACATCGCTAGATTCTCAGAACATCACTGCCAAGAAGCCTATCCAAACTATTCTCTGAAAAACAGCCTGTAACTCAGTTGGGATAGGAAGCCGATGATATAGGAGTGGCAATTGGGAGTCAACTGGCAGGGGGCCAGCTTTACGAAGTTCAAGTACTCCACCACGAACGGATGGAGAGGCAATCGAAGGCCCATTTCCACCGACGGGACATGCACGGCGAAGTAGCCTTCGGGGGGTGAGACAACAGGTCAGCGGGTCCTAGTTCAACCACAGTCGCCGAGGGCCCAGTATATAGTTGAGTAGCGTGGTTCTTCTTCTTCTTCTTCTTCTTCTTCTCCTTCTTCTCCTTCTTCCCCTTCTTCCCCTTCTTCCCCTTCTTCTCCTTCTTCTCCTTCTCCTCCTTCTTCTCCTCCTTCTTCTTCTCCTCCTTCTCCTCCTTCTTCTTCTCCTCCTTCTTCTTCTCCTCCTTCTTCTCCTTCTCCTTCTCCTTCTCCTTTTCCTTCTCCTTCTCCTTCTCCTTCTCCTTCTCCTTCTCCTCCTCCTCCTTCTCCTCCTCCTCCTCCTCCTCCTCCTCCTCCTCCTTCTCCTTCTCCTTCTCCTTCTCCTTCTCCTTCTCCTTCTCCTTCTCCTCCTCCTCCTCCTCCTCATCCTTCTCCTTCTCCTTCTCCTTCTCCTTCTTCTTCTTCTTCAACATGGTATGAGTGAATGGTTCTGGGATGCGAGGGTACACCTTGTAGGGCTCTCTTGCAACAACCCTTCCCCTTAGCTCATTCAACCTTAATCTCAAATCGTCCACTGCACCAGGTATTAGCCCGTTTAATGTCTCCATATCCACATGAATAGTGTGGCTCGAAATTAAAGATCATGCACATCTTTATGTGGCATCATCCTCTGGGAGGTTTCTAGAGAGTGGGTGGCTTCCTAGAGCATCTACACCCCAGCGTAAAACTGTGTCAGGTTTGTGCACGGAGCACAACGCGACTCACCTCTGAGCCAATCACAGGTGGATTGCCTGTTATGACTGCGGTCCAGTGTACCCCTCAGGTCTCTAGGATTTGACAGTTGATCCCGTAGATCTCCTATTGGCATCATCACATGGCTCCTCGTGCGATGGTCATTGGGCATTCAAGTGTGCATGTGTGCAATGTACAGGGGCAAAGCATACAAGTCTAAGGGGTGATAGCTTCAAACGTGCAAGACCCCGCGACAGTGCTACACGACTTGTCGCCGCTGGTGACTATCTATCGCCATGCCCTGATTGCCCTCTCGATTTCATCGTAGGAGGTGGAGGAGCAATCTTTGTCGATCAACGGAGCCGGCCCAACTAATAAATAAATAATTGCAGACCTATTTCTGCTAGTCGGGCTGTGCTCTGAGCTAGGTCGGGCCAAAGCTCGGGTGTAATGGCCTGATAGTCTTGGACTTGGCCCATTATCCCAACAAGTACTACACTATTTTGATTTAAGAATAACATATTACAGAGTACTAAATAATGATCAATCAGATTTCCATTTAAATAATTTGACTTTACAAAGTAAAAACGTGAGTAACTAATTTTAAATAGAGTTTCATCTCGATACATTGGGCCCATTTTATGAAAAAATTAATTATGACCCTCTATAATAATTAACATCATGCATAAATATTTAGATTATTATTTACGTAATGTGTATAGGCACACATAAATTAGCATTAATATAATCTTATCTATATTTCCTTATTTGAGTCTAATAGTTGATCAATATAATTAGTACACGTATATAATTATTTAGTAATAAATTTTACAAAAAATAAAATTACCATTTTAGATTGAATGGATGCATTAAAAAGTATATAACTCAATCCTTTATGTACAACTATAGCATTATTTATCAATATATTTTATTATAATCTTTATTTTTATAAAAGAAAACGATGGACCCACATTAGTCATGTGTTTTTCCTCATTAATTTTTTGACCTATTTTAGAAACGTATATATTCAGAAAAATTGAGCATATATAATTAGAGAGTTTCTAGAGAGAATAGGGAGTTTCAATATTTTTATTGAGTAAATAATACAGAGTATATAAAATTTAAGACTCATTTTAACTCTATTATCTTTAAAATTTACACATAAATATTCATGTTTATGAGGTGAACACATAGCTTATAAATCATAATACAAGACTATATATGAATATATACATATATTTTTTGTACACATAGCTTTGAGTTATTAAAAAATTATTAAACCGTAAAATAAGATTTTTAACAACGATATAGATTTATTTAAGGTTCGCTAATTATTATGGATAATTAAGTTACTTATAATTTGAATTATTATACTTATTTACTCATAAACTAAATCTAACTCGTGCAATGCACGGGTACTAAGTCTAGTTATTATAATTATGACATGGAAAATATATAAAGTGCAACACACCTAGAAATAATATCCGTAGTTTATGTTGATCACTTAAGTAAGTTTCAACCTCTAAGTAGTTATAGGCCCTCCACCTTCATCGCCTTTGCATCTCATCATATCCTCACACAATTGAACTAATTACTTACCCATGCAATAATTTGGCATGACGAGCATTCATATGTAGGTGTGCATATATGTATGTTTATCCAACCTGATTGAGTTTCCTAATGTTTGGAAGCTCATCTTATGAGCTTTTCGAACACACACATATATACACATTAGTATTCATCTTTAATTAATTTGTTCTTCGATCTTAGTCGTAAGCAAGTGTATTATATAATAATACTACGTGTATATATAGCACGCCTAGCTAGCCTTTCCGGCCTGCTCGGACGATCAATTATATTATATTATATTATATTATATTATATTCAATCAGAGGAGACAGTGGTAGTGCACATATATAGTATGGGCGGGGCGGCGGCGTTGTTAATGTTGACAAGGAGGCGACACATTTGGGCTGATTGCGCATTGTTGTTATTGCTGCTAGCAGCGTGTGGTGCTCCCACTTTGCGGGCGGATATCGCTAAATATGATGACTACTTGAAGAAGAAAGCCAAGGAAGCCTTCCATTCGTCCCTCCAGGCTTACTATGCCGACCCCGAACAAGTCACCGATCATTTCAATGCCGAAGTTGGAGAGTATGTAATTTATATAATTTGTTCAATTGCAAGAATGTTCAATTAATATTTCTACTTAATAAAATTAAATGAACATGCACATTAATTAATACTCCATACAAGAAAGAATTATATGTAGGTATATATGAGTATGTATTGTTCCTACCCACACGTTTGAATTATTAGTAGGTAGATTTAGTAGCGCATACGTGATACTTTACATGCATGTGAAATGATTTTCTTGGTCAATGATAACAAAGTTTAATTTGGAGGACGTATTTAATTACTCTGTATTATATTTGTATGCAATCCATAATATTTTTACTTCTATGACAACATTTTAAATAGAGAATATTTTAATATAATTTTTATATCCAAAATAAATTCGTATTAAAATATATCATTGGTCAACGTTGAGTACCATTGACTAAGAAAAATCAAATTGGAAAACCTTTTTTGGGAGAAAGGATGTGTGTGTGTGTGTTTAAATGATGAAATTGATGCAGTACGATAAAAAACTTGACCGTGAAGATGAGAAGGAAGCTTAAGGAAGGTGGCGGCGCGTGCCAGGCAATGAATCCTATTGACAGGTGTTGGAGGTGTGATCCGAATTGGGGCATGAACAGGAAGAGGTTAGCTGATTGTGCGAGGGGGTTTGGGCACGGGACGGTAGGCGGAAAAGACGGTGAGATTTACATCGTCACGGATGCCTCAGATGATGACGTGGAAGAACCGAAGCCGGGGACGCTCCGACACGCTGTGATTCAGGAAGAGCCATTGTGGATCATCTTCGCCAAGTCCATGGTGATCACCCTGAAGCAAGAGCTGATGATAAACCATGACAAGACCATCGACGGTCGTGGGGCGTCAGTGCACATTGCATATGGCGCAGGCCTCACTATCCAGTTCGTCCAGAATGTGATCATCCACAACATCCGCATCCATCATATCTTGCCCAAACCAGGCGGCTTGGTGAGGGACTCTGTGTCTCACATTGGCCTCAGAACCATGAGCGATGGAGACGCCATCTCCATCTACGGTTCCAACCATGTATGGATTGACCATGTCAGTATGGCCAAATGCAGTGATGGTCTCATTGATGCCATCATGGCTTCCACTGCCATCACCATTTCTAATTGCAAGTTCAATCACCACAATGATGTACGTACGAACCTCGTGTGTATATCTAAATTCTACTCCGTAATAATACATGCATGCATAATGCATTCTCCTATATATTGATGCATGTATGTGTACATATGCTTATTTGTCCACTGCACATAGGTGATGCTATTAGGGGCGAGTGATTCTTTCTCTGAAGACTCGGTAATGCAAGTGACAGTAGCATTCAATCGGTTCGGGAGGGGACTGATCCAGAGGATGCCAAGGTGCCGATGGGGGTTCTTCCACGTGGTGAACAATGACTATGCTCAATGGGAGATGTACGCGATTGGCGGGAGCTCAAGCCCCACAATAGTGAGCCAGGGCAACCGCTTCAAGGCCTCCGACAACCCTTTCACCAAGGAAGTGACCAAGAGAGATTACGCTCCTCAGTCCCAATGGAGTCACTGGCAGTGGAGATCAGAGGGTGACTTATTCTTGAATGGGGCATACTTTGTTGAATCCGGTGAGGAGTTGAAGCGTACTCCATTGACCAAGAGCAGTCAAATCATGTACAAACCCGGATCTTAAGTTGGACGCCTTACCCGCAAGGCTGGTATGATCAACTGCAAGATCCATACACCTTGCTAAATACCTACCTATGCATGCAATGCATGTACCAATAATTTTATTCCATATGGCCGAATCAACCTTGCATCACATGTGTTGGATATATGACCGACACACACACATGGCAAATGGAGCTAATATTGTATTTCATTTTCATCTAATTTTCCTATTTACTTTGCTTTGCTTGGATTACCTGCATAAAAACACAACACTTATACTTCTCTTGTTTTAGTTGTCACACTTCTATATTCACATTTTCCAATGCACAACTTTCACCAATAATACATTGAATTACTCCCTCTGGCCCACAATTAACATCACAGTTTGACCATTAATTATTTAAAAATCATATCATTTTATAATACCAAAATAATTTTGAATACTTCATTTTAATATATACTATTGAAATGTTAATATATTTTAAGTTTTATAAGTATAAATTTTTATGTATCATTGGTCAAACGTCGATGTTGGAGACTACGAAAGTCCAACTGCGAACGTAATTAAGCGACAAAGATAGCATTTATCAGTGAAAAATAAAAATAAAAACCTGTTTTTGAAAAATTAAAATGAATACACTCAATGTAGGCTATGAGGATAGTGTATAAAATTATAAGGAAAAAGGGGCAAATAAGACCGCGTACTAACAAAAAAAGGTCAAATAAGCCCTTATATAGGAGGCTCTGTCCGGCCGTCGCGATTTAGGGCAGTTGCCGGTCGAATGTTTTGTTGAAAGTTTTTAAGAATCTTATTCATTAAGTCTAGTTTACTAATACCAAATTTCAGCTAACAATTCAATCGGGAAGGCATTCAAATAAATTCTTGAAGATAATTGCGCTTTTAACTGCGCAGTTATCTTCAAGAATTCATTTGAATGCCTTCCCGATTGCATTTTTAGTTGAAATTTGGTATGAGTAAACTAGACTTAATGAATAATATTATCAAAAAATTGAATAAAAAAATTCCACCGGGAACTGCCCCAAATGACAATGGCCGGACATAGCCTCCTATATAAGGGTTTATTTGACCTTTTTGGGTTAGTATGTCGGCTTATTTGCCCCGTTTTCCAAATTATAAATGTGGCAATTATTTAACAACAAATGTAGTATATGTGTGTGTGGGCGCGTGTAATGAGTATGAAAATAACTAAATTAAAGTTCTTCTAATCTATATACACATAAGGTTGCAACTCACAACTCAATCTAATGCACTTTAAAGTTCGTATATTGCATTTCTTGAACTTTGGTCCAACCACGTCAATGTTATACTCTGCAGTAAACAAAACAAATGAAATGACATTTTGGTAAATAAATTAAAGTTTATGCAAACGTGAAAAATTGAAACATAGAAACTTAATATTGCAAAGGCGAGAAATCACGTAGAGAGAGGGGCGGCAAAGGGGAACCCCTAGCCTCCTCCTCTTTTTTTTAACCCGGAAGGTAAACCACCAAAATCAGTGAGGCAAATACCAGGGAACATTTGCCGGATTTTATTAATAGTAAAAGAAGTGATACAAATGAGAGGGGGACTAGACCAAAATCTCTCACAACAAAAAAGTAAACCTCTTCAAAAGAAGAAAAGAAGCAAACCAAACAGAACGAAAATTAAACAAAATGAAAAGAAGGGTAACCAATAAGATCCATATAATAAGCCTCCTAGCCTTAATAGGCAAATCAGAAGCCTGGGAGTAAAAAAGAAAGTGGGCCGTAGAAGTTTCAGCAATATGATGGGCCGTCCAATTCCTTTTCACGTCAGGTGTGCTCAAAAACTATCCCTTTCCTATTAGCAATCAGTTACATTTCCTGAATCGCGTTCTTCCATCTTCCAGCACCTCCTTCCGCTAGATAACCCACCGCTACCCTTGCATCAAGCTCAACTTGGAAATCCGAGAAGCCCTCCTGAACAGCCCATAAAGTAGCAATGATAGCAGCAATTATCTCCGCTTCAAGATTTCAAGCGGCAACCAGCGGAAAGGAAATAACAGAAATCATTTCTCCCTCACGATTCCGCAAAATCGCTCCACCACCAGCCTTGTCCGGTAAATACCTCGCATCTGTATTAAGTTTGAACGACTATTTTGGGTTTTCCCATTTGATTGCTTTTAGAACTGTTCTTGCCAGCTTGTAGTGTTTTGGGATGAGTCCTTCTTCAAATAGAATCTCCCCGATAGAGCTGAGCTTGGTTTTTGATAAACTCAAAGCCCAGTTTTGGGTGAATAATTTGATTTGGAGAATAATTTTTTCTGAGGTAGGAATAGAATCATTAGATCCCCATATAATATCATTATAGGATCTCCTCCTCTTCTTTTGTTCTTTTCTTCTCTTCTTTTGATTCCAATCATGAAAAATGTTCCGTTTAATCAGTATTTTCCGTTGTACCTTTACGTTTATTTCCTAGCGTTGTCTAGAGATGTTATTTTCGGTGGCCAAGTGTCGCTCGCCAGTGTATATTCCTCGCCATCATCGGTCGGGTGTTCTTGTGTGCTAGTAAGAGGTTTATATTGGCTGGTGAAACCAGAACAATTTTTGCACTTGGCTCCTTACCGGTGGCTGGAAAAACTAGCAAGTTTAATACTTCTCGGTGGCTAGTCAAACCGGACCTATTTCGAGTAGCATGAGCAGTCACATTGTGGTACAAGACTACATTGTTGCAGGGTTAGCGCACATGAGGGCCTTTATATTTTTTTTTGTTCTTTGTCTCACCCTAGTGAGACAAAGGTATAATTGAACGCTATGATTGTAATGCTTCGACTTTTGATTGTTATGTTTCTTGTTATCTTTATCAATAATAATTAAATTATTTTCTTTCCAAAAAAAGAAATTTAATAGTGCATCACATTGCGGGGAGAGTAAAAGCGTTCACAGCATTCAAGGGAAACAATGATTGGGCTCTTAACTTGCCAGTATACAAGTGTAGATTGCAGTAATTATAATTACCGGTAAAATAGCGGGTTGATCCACGGGAAAACGTTGTTTTATAAAGATCAAGTTTTGAGAACTAAAGTATAAAATAGAAGTAAGTGCATGAATTTTTGTTGTTGTTAAATGTATGAATACAATAAAATGACCAAGACATCAGAATCCACCTTAACAATAATTAGAGTTTAATATGATTTGTTTGTCAATTCTTGTGACTTCTTTTCTTTGGTTTTGATAATATTTCACGTTTTTGTTACATCATCATTTTTTATATACCCTTTTCCCTCTCTTTTGCAATATAGATTACTTTAATTACTTCGATAAGACATAGGTAATTATATTATAAGGAAATGACCACTCAACCCGGACAAAGTCCTAAGCCATGTCTAGCTTCAGAACCACAATGTCTCCTCTAATTGTTTTATCAAGTGAATGAAGAATTTCGTTAGCATTAATATGTGATAAGGAATGACTACATTTTTCTCTCCATAAAACTGATTTGTTTTAATGAAATGTGTAGTGTAATGATATCTATTATAATATAGTAGTAAATTGATTTTGGTACAGTGTTCCCGCCTATTCCTCCACTACAAGGCCACAATGAAGTACCGTATGCCCAATTGTACCGGATTACGAGTTGTTTAATTGATTGCATTAATTCGCTGGACTAATATTCGCAAGAGCACGTGTGTGCACTCCCATCACAACTTTAAATGTCCATCCAGCTCTTCCGTATTCCCGTACATCTATTACTTTTGATTTTACTTTCTGAATAAATTATCATTCGAGCACATCTACCTATACTGTTCCATATAATATTTTTTTATTTGCTAAAAGGTCAAATAGGTACATGAACTAACTTAAAGTGTTCAATTAGTCCCTTATATAGGAGGTTCTGCCCGGCCATCGCCAATTGGGGAAGTTCCCGGTGGATTATTTTGATGAAATTTTTTGAGCATATTCTTCATTAAGTCTTGTTTACTCATACCAAATTTCAGCTAAAACATCAACCGGTAAGGAAGTCAAATGATTTTTTGAAGATAACTGCGCACTTAAACAGCGCAGTACATTTCGGAAAATCATTTGACTGCCTTCCCGGTTTAATTTTTAGCTGAATTTTGATATGGGTAAACTCGACTTAATGAAGAAGATGCTCAAAAAATTTCATAAAAAGTTTTTACCGGTAACTGCCCCAATTGGTGACGGTCGAGCAGAACCTCCTATATAAGGGACTAATTGAATACTTTAAGTTAGTTCATGTACCTATTTGACCCTTTAGCTTTTTTTATTTTAATCGTCTGCACCAATGCTCTTCCGTATTCCCATCACACATAGCATGACAATTTCCAAAGAAAGTTAATAATTACAGAATAAATTCATTGTTTCAATGACTGTGGATCACTTTTTATATATATATATTATTAAAGAATGAAAAATACAAAAAAGAGGAGTAATAATGTAATAGTCTAGGGACTTCTGTGTAAACGCTCTTAACCCTGTTTTATTATAAATACATGACCACGACACCCAATAAGGTAAGCCATTATTTTCCAAAACTATTCTTTCGTATATGGTATCAGACGCGTAGGGGTTATTTTTCTCCGATCCTTTTCTTCCCTCACGCAAGGCGCCACCATCATGGTTGACGCAGCCTCTGCGGCAGTTACCACTACAGCGCCACCTCAATCCACGGCCATCACGACGACGGACATCACTCAGATTTCCGCTGCACAATCCACATCGCAGGCTTTTACTCCCTTTAGCAGCGACTTCGTTCCTCCGTTGCACCCTACCTGCGCGATGGCCACTTCGTCAGGGTCTTCACGGATACCACTTGCCTCAATTGGAATGCCCCTGAATTCCAACAGTCTTTTTCACATGCCGGCACCATCATTATTTCCTCCACATGCTGCCAACTTGGATTTTTTGGGGCAGTCATCTACTCATGGCATCGGCCGAACCAACAACAACCCACGCCCTCAGGTTCATCCACCTTGTCCCTCACCGAACTATCAGACCATGACACCGTGCCTCTTTCACCCGCACACCAACGGCCCCCAGGTCAGCACACACCCACGGTCAGTCCTTCCCAGTCACCAACGTAGCCCTCTTCCCCAACCACATCCTCATCTTCCTTGTTGACCAGCCCACCAGAAACTCCACCACCCACTTCGTCACCTCTGCCCAGTCCGACACCTAGCTCTTACGCAACACCGGTCTCTCCTGTCCCCCGGCCAAACATACATCCCATGATAACACGAGCCAAGGCAGGTATTTTTAAACCTAAAACAATTTTAAATTTGAGTGCCTTTTCTCCCCCGGATGATCCCACATGTTTTACACAAGCAAATAAACACGTTGTTTGGCGGGCTGCCATGG